GCCCCTTCCGCCACGCCTCAGCACAAACGCTGAAACTGCTCCGGAAAAAAAAATAACCAACCCCCCGCCCAAGCCCCACAAGAGCCATGGGGCTCACAGTCACTTCTTAGTCCTGGTGATGCTGCTGACCCCTGCTACAGCTGGTTAAGGACACCTTCCTGATTTCGTGGGGTGCGGTACAGCGCTGGCCATGACCAGCATTTCTGACCCAGCCATGACATGCTGCCACGTTTGGAAAAAGTGAAGAAAATAACTGCAGTATCACTAGCGAGGAGAAACCAGTTGTGTCAAAACCCAGTGTTTGCTTCCCCGCTTGGCAGATGTCAGTCATAGATTATCTCTCCTCCTTCGCTAACGTTAGTCATAAGCAATGGCCAGATCAAAAACAAACGCAAAACAAATGAAAAAACCTGCCCCATGCCTTTTTCACTGAAGCAAGACAGAAGAATGGCTACTGCTCTCCCCCACGCCCCTTGGGATAACCTGGAGGGCAGGCAGTTGGTGCAGGGAGCGCGTAACTACAACAAAGGCTGTTGAAGTCACCCGGGCGCGGGGCTCGCCTGGAGACCTGACGGTTGCACGGGCAACACAGGCCCCACAGCACGCTTAGGGGAAAAAAACTAGCCCATCTCCTCGGACTGAGGGTACGGTGTGTTCACCTACTGCAAAGGGGATAAGCAGACACTTCAGAGCTGCCCGTTTGCTTACATGCATTTTAATTTCAGGTGTTCTTTTGCCGAAAGGCTCTGTGGCTCACGCGGGAGCAGGACTGCAAGCTCCGCTCCGGGGACTCGCTGCCGCCGCGCAGGGGGACGGGCAGGTAAGGCGTCCCGGACGCACGCTGAGCAAGGCCAGGCTGCCGCCAGCGCTCCTGGGCTTTCTTCGTTATCATGTTTCCAAACTGCATCGCTTAATCACATTTAACATCTTACCCAAGATTCATACGCAACACCGGATGAAAACATTTAGAGTTGTAAAATGCATCTAGTTCTTACCTTTGATATGCCTGAGGAGATGTGGGAGGTGTATTGAACACATGCGAATATGGGTGATAGGGTGTCTTTTTCAAAGCCTGAATAAGATTTTGTCTATATTCTGGGTCTATACACCACAAGGACCCCTTTCCAATACTCTGCAAAGAAAAAAGAATTAAAAAAAAAATCAAATATTTGATCTAATGGCATAGCCTTATTTATTTAGCAGTATTTGTCAGGAAAAGCAGTGGGTTTGGGTTTTTTGTCTGACAGAAGAGAACATAGTTTTCTTGCCAGAGATTATTGCTCCATTAATAACATTTTGCGACTGTATGATTTAAATCAGACTTCTGGGGGGGAAAAAGTAAGAATGAATGTTTGTTTGCTTTCCACCCCACCCCCCCTTCTTGTTACTAGTTAACACGACTTAATAATATCTGGCTATTTCCCCATCACCCCATATTGGAAAAATAAGCTACAGTTACTGTTACATGGAAACTTTGAAGAAAAGTAGATTCTTTTTGAAAGTGAGTTTCTTTTCCTTTTGCTGTTATGCTAACAAGAAACAGGGCTAAAAAGGAGGGGTTTAAACACCCTAGCAACTGTTTTAAAAATAAAAGGACTTAATCCTTCAACCACATGACATCAGTGCCATTATACTACAAGAGGAAATTAATCATCTTTTCTCCCCTAAGGGGAAAACAAATACCCAAAAAACCCAAAACAAACAAAAAAAAAGCCCACAGTATAATCAAGAGTTTAAACCATTTAAGGGTGTTGTGAAATTGTGATCTGTTAAAACAACAGTTACTGTAATTATCCTTTCTGGACACACGGAGCAACTCAAGCAGTCAATCTGTAATGTGAAGACTACACTAAAACTCAGTATTTATTCTGCAGTTAGAAGCAGTGCAATTTCAGTTCTTGTCTCAATCCCATCAGAGGTCAGGGTGCAGATATTTTGAATTGTTCTCAAACAAACAGAAAAACAACTTTCTCTTGGCTCCACGATGAAAGCATACAAAACGATAGCTCAGGAGCAGCCTTGATCTGCTTGAGCATACGTAAAAACAAACACCGTTACTGACTGAACTCCACTGGCAGGCTTTCAAGGCATTATGATAAGACTTTTTGTAAAAGTTGACGTTTTCTGGAACAGGTGGGGGGGCTGCGCTAACACCTCTAGCTGCTTTTCGACCCCGGACCATCCCTTTTCTCAACTCCAACTTCTATCAGCGGAGCAAGGCTCTCAGTTTCATGCGTCGAAGAACAAACACGCACACACAAAAAATCACACCAAAAGTGGGATATTATTTTCTAGAGCCACAAGGGAGACCAAAACCAGACACTTGTCTCCTTTTGAAAACTTGTAATCTTTGTGGAGCCCTACCAACTCCTAAGCGTTCCTCTGCCTCATAGACAGCTTTAGGATACACAGTACAATGTGCAAAGTGCTTACAGACCTCCTTCCAAACTTAAAGACAGCAAATCTGCACTAAATTCTCCCCCCAAAAAACAGAAAAATGAAAAAGAAAAATTTTCCTCAACGTCACTGGATGGCTGTGTGGGAGCATCTAAGCAAGTTCACATCACTGCATGAGACTTGGCTTGAAAGAAAAGGAGAGGGGCTGCCACAACCCGCAGGAGCCACAACCGCTTTCTTTCAGAAACAAGCACATCTGCTGGAGGGGATGAAGAAGAAACCATCTTCTGCATGCCGCTCTGGTGGAACCGGGAGCATGGGGTCAAGCCTCTTCAGGATGGCAGGATTCAAGCACATCTCTCCCCTTGCTTCCTAAGGGCACCCTACCAGAAGACCCCTGAACAGCCTAAGGGGAAACATCCTCCAGCTCTCAAGGTGAAGCGCAGCCCTTGCATGGCCAAAAATCCCAAGATTCAAGGGGCCACAGAGAGAGAACAAGCAAGACTCTGGGGCTTTCATCTTGGTAAAGCACTACAGCAGATGACTGAAAGATCCACTGCCAGTGTCAGTGGTGGAAGCTGCGCACCACACATCTCAAACCAGTTTGCAAAAAGGAGACTGTTATGTTTAGCCCTCTTTTAAACATGAGACAATGAGCCAGAGACTTGACATGATAAGCCTAGTAAGTGACTTTTTAGGCAAAGAACAGAGTCAAAAATAGAATCCAAACCTCTCAAATTCCACTTCCACGCTCCATCCAAGAGCCAGAGCAAGAAGAACATAAAATTTCCTTTTAAGCAAGCAACATGCAAAACTAGGAACGTTTTTCAGGAGAAAACCTTTGCTGGATTCCTTACTCCTTACAGCATGGGATAAGCTTAAAAAAAGCGCTACACTTAAATACCATCTACCTTATTTGTACTTGCTGGAACACAACATACTGTTTTCAAACTTCTCTGTTTCTTCATTTATTTCCAAGACAGACTTTTCATCTACCTGGAACAGATTACCCCCAAAACCCATCGAAGTTAGTTCAAGTTGAGGGCCTTACAAGATGAAGTCACTACTGAAGAGTAACTTCAAAACCTTTCATTACTGTTAAGCTAAATTTGTTTGGCTTGCCCATATTCTTGCAAAAGCCAAAAATAATCTCACTGACAAACAGAAACTCTCTCACACAAAAAGTATTGAGAAGAATTATACTCCTTGTTAAAAGAAACACTGGGAAGGCAGATTTGCTATATTTTCACAGCAACTGAGCTGACTTACAGTTTAGAAGCAAATACAAATGCAATTTAAGGCAAAGATCTCCAACCATGCAAAGTTCCTTTTTTAAGATAGTTACTTTTGTTTTGCCACAATCGCAGAAGAGAGCAGAAATAAAAAGAAAACTGAAGTGTCATAGGTTAAGAATCCTTGACTGTCAGAGGTGTGAAGAGCTTCCTTAACTGTCTGTTTAAACGTGTCATTAGTCTTCCCATATACAGAGCAATCATGGGAAAGAAAACCATTGGAACTCAGACCCATCGGTTAGTGATTAATTTCCATCTTATGACACTTGGCGTGCTGCTTCACTACATCTCCTCCAAGCCAGAAGTCAATAGTGGCTCCAATCAAAAACCAGTAAGGAAGGGGAAAAAAAAATCCCTGGATTACATTTGTCTCCCAGGCAACAAGTGACTGAGGAGTGGATAACAGCCCCCTGATCGTCTCGGCACTGGAGTGCTCTCAGACCTCCCGACACACCACCACCTCCTCCCAGGGCCAGGCACAGCCACCTCCCTCCCTCACTCCTGCCGATCAGAGGTTACTGCTTCTGTATCCGTGTTTAAGGTTATTAAAAAAAAGGGGAGTGTTACTACAAGTCCCTTTCACCTTGTCCAAGAGTAGACTATAGTTACAGGTAGGCTATTTCAGAGGTACTAATGGGGAGAGAAAGCAATGTATAGAAGTTACCCCATAAAAGCTTATGACAACACTTTTTCTTTAAAAGAATTCCTGATTATCTTTTCTGTTAAGAAATTGTTATGCCTTTTTCTGTTACTTAATATATATGTAGATTGTATCAGGATATTGTGTACTAAATCCCAACTTATTATTTGCTCTTTCTCATATCTCAAATATACAAATCTGATTTCCCCCCGACAATTAAAACCAGTGCATTGCCATTAAAAGCTACATGATACACTCAGTGTCCAATTGTTTTTTCTCCCAATGGACTGCATATAAAAGTTTTAAAATCCTACTTTATACAACCTATTAGGATCCAAACAAAAATGTTTGATCATCTTTTAGTAGAATTGAAAAAAAGTTTGAAATTTAAAAATAAAAGAATTAAAATGCTGCTTGTCAGCTCTTTCAGTTGTTATAGTTAGGGATAAGAGCATATCCACTATTAAAACTCTTCATTATAAAGATTTTGCTTCCATATACCTCGCAACTAACTGCCTGGCCTTACATATCACCTATCGTCTGCCCAAAGCTCAATAAAAAAAAATTGTGCATTGAGCTCTTTCCAAGACCAATGACTGGGAAAAAATACATACCCTGTCTATATAAAAATTCTGGCAAATGTTTATTTGAGGAATTTTGTTCCCTGGTTATTTTAGCACAGACTTGAAATGTGTTAGGAACGCCACTTTTTTTCCAGGCTTGCTCTTTTCATTGCCATACAAACAGTCTGCCCAAAATAAAGCTTTGGGAAAAGAGCAGAATCAGGAACGGCAAAATATGCAGGTGCAGAGGGATGCTGGCAATTCCAAATTGTACCTTCTGAAGCTCTGGTTACACGTTCGCTTTGAATCCGCACGGGACTGCGCTGAAACCAGGGATGAGCAGCTCCAGGCACCCACATCTCTCAGAGCAGCATCACCACCGAGAGGGTCCCTAAGGGAATAGACCCCTAAGGGAACATTCCCCAAAAGGGATGTAGTGGATGGAGGGGTCTGAGCTGCTGCTTCCCTGGTCCTTGCTGCACTGTTCTCCTCCCCGCCCTCTTGCATGTGCCTGGCCCTTCTTCCACAAACCCGTTTCAGTCATTCTCCTCGAAGAAGACTATTTTGCTGGCACAATTTTATGTCATTTAAACTCATTAAGCTGGCTCACATGAAGGGTCTGATGAGCACCCAGCACTGCTGCAAAGCAGCATGGATGCGGGGAGCCAGGGAGGGGAATGGGAGCTCTCCCCTTCTGCAGCAGGAGCCGTGGTGACACCCCGACGCATCTCTTGCAACAGCACATCGAGAAAGGAAAACCAGGACTCTGGCTGGACACAAAGCAGCTCGGAAGAGGAACAGGAAAAAGGGCGTGACAGAGAGCAGGCATACATGGGAGAGCTGGCTGAGCTGGCAGCGAGACTGGCAGACATGGCCCTGAAGGAAAGACCAGGAGAGCCGTGCAGCCAAGACCAGCGACACACGAGATGCTGGGCACAGATGCATGGGGGCTGGGGAAGCCAGGTAGGCTGGGAGGAGAGGAACTGAAACAAGAGACCCACGAGTGTGTGAGTGACCGCACAGCTCTGCACAGGCACCCAGGCTACACCAGCAAGCTGAGAATCATGAAACTGAACTCTCTGAGTTAAGGACCTTGCTACTTTAAACAAACGAACAAAACTGAAACCAAGCCAGCAACTCCCCACTAAGTAGATCTGTCCTTTTTCTTCTCTACTACCAATCCAAGAGGCAAGGAGTCGCCATGGCTAGACTCTCCTGAAGCCAAACTGTCAGCAATATG